TGGCTAATTTTTGTATTTTTAGTAGAGATGGGGTTTCACCATGTTGGCCAGACTGGTCTTGAACTCCTGACGTCAGGTGATCCATCTGCCTCGGCCTCTCAAAGTGCTGGGATTACAGGGATGAGCTACCACACCTGGCCTAAAAATCACATTTTCAAAAAGCATTACAATTGATGCAGGAAAGGCAACTGGCAATATCCAATATCACTTCACAATAAAAACTCAACAAGTTAAAAACAGAAGGGAATTTCCTTGGCATAGTAAAGAATGTCCAGAAGAAATCCACAGCTAACATGATACTGAATGGTGAAAGACCAGATGTTTTCCTTGTATAACGGGGACAAGACAAGGATGTCAGCTCTTGACACTTTCATTCAACATTGGACTGAAGGTTTTAGCCTGGGCAATTAATCAAGAAAATAAAATAAAAAGGCATCCAATATGTAAGATATAGGGAAATAGTGGCTTTTCCCTCTACTCACACAGCACTCAATACAATACATCTGATACCGGATGTGTGAAGGTCATTTCCCCAGACATCAAGCAATTCTGTAGTGGGCATTAGGGGTCCTTTAATTCAATTCCATTCTGATACTGTCTACCTGGAGACAGGCTGAGGGCCCAGTCCCACAAGACTGCCCTCCACTTTCAGATGCCAATAGCGAGTAGTACTTGAGAAACTTTAGATGCCCGTGGTGAACATTCTTGAGAAACTGGCTTTAAATCAGGGTTCCCATAACTTCCTAGTCGGGTTTTATTAATTTGCTAGAGCAGCTCACAGAACTCAGGGAAACACTTTACTTACATTTACTTGTTTATTAATAAAGGATACACACGAACAACCAGATGGAGGCGATTTTTAGGGCAAGGAATGAGAGAAGGGGCACGGAGCTTCCATGATCTTGCTGGGCGTGCCTCCCTCCGGGAATCTCCATGTGGCCAGCTATCTGAAAACTCCCAGAACCCTGTGCTTTTGGAGTTTTATGGATGCTGCATTACATAGGCATGATTGACTAAATAACTGATCATTGGTCATTGGTTGATAACTTAGTTAGCAACTCCTTGGGGTTTGGGGCTGAGGGTCTCAGTCCTCTAACCATGCCTTGACCTTTCTGTTGACCAGCCCCTGCCCTGAAGCTGTCTAGGGGTCCCCAGCCACCAGCCATCTCATTAGCATAAAAAAGACACTCTTATCACTCCAGAGATTCTAAGGGTTTTAGGAGCTGCACATCAGAACATGGGGGAAGAAAACCAAACATGTATTTCACTATGTCACAGGTGCCAAGAAAATTTTATGGGGGAAAGATCAGTATTTTCAAGAAGTGGTGCTGGAACAACTGGTAGCCAAATGCAAAAGAATAAAGCTGAACACTTACCGCTATGTACAAAATTAACTTAAAATGGATCAAAGACCTAAGTAGAAGAGTTAAAACTATACAACTCTAGGCTGGGTGTGGTGGCTCACGCCTGTAATCCCAGCACTTTGGGAGGCTGAGGCAGGTGGATTATTTGAGATCAGGAGTTCGAGACCAGCCTGGCCAACATGGTGAAATCCTATCTCTACTAAAAATACAAAAACTAGCTGGGCAGTAGTGGTGCATGCCTGTAGTCCCAGCTACTCAGGAGGCTGAGGCAGGAGAATTGCTTGAACCAGGGAGGAGGAGGTTGCGGTGATCACACCACTGCACTCCAGTCTGGGCGAGAGAGTGAGACCTTGTCTCAAAAAAGAACAAACAAACAAATAAAACAACTATACAGCTCTTAGAAAACAGCAGTAAATCTTTGTGACTTTGGATTAGGCAATGGAGTCTTAGATATAACACCAAAAGCACAAGCAACCCAAGAAATAATAAACTGGACTTCCTCAGAATTAAAAACTTTTGTGTATCAAAGGACATTATCAAGAAAGTTAATTATAACTGATCTAGAGATAATTTTTTAAGTGAAAACAACATACAATTGGGAGAAAATGTTTGCAAATCTGTTTGCAAAAATGTTTGCAAATGTCTGATAAGGGTCCAGGGGCTTGAATATATAAAGAACTCTAACAACTCAATAATAAAAGTAATCTAATTAAAAATTTGATAAAGAAATTGAATACATTTCTCCAGAGAAGATATTCAAATGACCAATAAGCATATGAAAAGATACTCAACAACATTAGTCACCACAAATGCAAATTAAGACTATAATGAGATACAACTTCACACCCACTGGGATGGTTATCATCCAAAAGTCAGATAATAACAAGTTTTGGCAAATGATGTGGAGAAATCAGAGCCTTTATATACTGCCAAGACTGATATAAAGTGATATAGCTACTTTGGGAAACAGTCTGGCACTTTCTCAAAAAGTTAAGCATACAGTTACTTTTTTTTTTTTTTTTTTTTTTTTTTTTGAGACAGAGTCTCGCTCTGTTGCCCAGGCTGGAGTGCAATGGCATGATCTTGGCTCACTGCAACCTCCCCTTCCTGGGCTCAAGCAATTCTCATGGCTCAGCCTCCCAAGCAGTGGGACTACAGGCGTGTGCCACCACCCCTGGCTAATTTGTGTATTTTCATTTGACAGGTTTCACCATGCTGGCCAGGCTGGTCTCTTAACTCCTGATCTCAAACAATCCACCCACCTCAGCCTCCCAAAGTGCTGGGATGACAAGTGTGAGCCACTGTGCCCAGCCTAGAGTTACTTTTTGACCTAGTAATTGGTATATACCCAAGAGAAATGAAAATATGCATCCACACAAAACCTTGTTCATGACTGCTCATAGGAGCGCTAATTTTTAGGCAATGGAGTCTTAGATATAACAGCACTATTTTTCAGTGCTGCTATGGGCAGTCATGAACATGTTTTTGTGTAGATCTATAGTAGCCAAAAGGTAGACAAAGTGGCATTGGGTTCCTTCAGTACTTGTCAAGCTGGGCCTCTAAGGGGATCCCTGGAGTATGGGTATAGGGGTGATTAGAGTCCAGTCTCACTCACTATTAGAAAAGTGATTTAGATATGTTTTCTCACCAACCAAACCAGCAAAAAATGTCCCCCAAATGCTGAAACTAGAATCCTTGGTGTGGATGAGGAAATTGGGCAATGGGTATTGCTTAGTGGTGGGAGGGGGTGGCCTGTTTCCCTGGAGGGTGACTTGGAACCATGTCCACAGCTGCTACCCTCTGATTAAGGAATGATTCCAGATGTGTACAAAGAGCTAGTGTGGGAGGATGTCATTTCTGCCTTCTTTGTAGGAGCCTTGCATGGGACATCCTCACCCTTGTCCGACAGAGGCTATCTGGTTCTCCGGGCAGTGGGAGCACTCTGCAGCTGTTTAAAAGATAGTGTCCCACACTGCAATCAAGGCCCCTTCATGGGCCATGAACTGAGTTAGTGGACCGGGCTAGGATTTAAAAAGCAGGGAGAAAATATTAGAAAGCAGTCTTCCTAGTAAGGTTAAGTGCTGTCCTGTGACCTGTTGGTCCCAAGTTGTGTATGTGTGCAAGGACCCTGTGTTTAGAACATGTTTATACAGTTATACAGTGGTTCAGAGGCAGAAAAGTATGAAAACCAATGGTGTAAATGAATCCTTAAGGATATGGCATAGGGTTTATCTAGTTAAAATTTACCAAGCAGTCTATGCAACCTAATGCACGTTATGATTCCATTTTGTAAAAATAACTCACATACATGGAAAGATGCTATGGACAGTGGCTCTCTCTAGATACCAGGATTTTATTGTTTATTTATTTGTTTATTTGAGACAGAGTCTCATTCTGTTGCCCAGGCCAGAGTGAAGTGGCATGATCTTGGCTCACTGCAACTGCCACCTCCTGGGTTCAAGCGATTCTCATGCCTCAGCCTCCCCAGTAGCTGGGATTACAGGTGTGCGCCACCATGCCTGGCTAACTTTTTGTACTTTTAGTAGATATGGGGTTTCACCATGTTGCCTTGGCTGGTCCCGAACTCCTGAGGTCAAGTGATCTGCTTGCCTTGGCCTCCCAAAGTGCTACGATTACAGGCATGAGCCACTGTGCTGGCTCAGGATTTTAAAGTTATCCTGTTGCTGCTTTCATAAATTCTTTTTTCTACAATGTGCATATATTCCTTTTGGAATAATAAGCAATGAAAGGTAGCACATTGGGGTGGGGGTGGGGGGAGCACAGAAAAGAACAGGAGATTGCTTTTGCCTTAATGGAAGGGGACTCCTCACTCTCCTGGCTTCAGTGCACAAAGGCTACCAAGCTAACGAAGCAGGGTCTCACTGGGTGGCGCAGACCAGGAGAGCAGGGTGAGTGTCCCCAGGTGAGGGAACTGCACTCAGAGGGTCACACAGCTGTCAGGGGCTGGAAATTTAGGGGCTGGGGCCTCCTAGGCCTGTGGCTGAGGAAGCCTGTCCAGATGACACACACAACTACTGATAAATGAAACCTGTACGCTCAGGCCATGTAATCAAAGAAGAGAAAGTTGATGAGCAAGATGCCGGCAGGCTGGAGGACTCCAAGAGAATGATCTGAGCATCACAGGACTAAAGAGGCCTGGAAGATTTTTTTTTTTTTCTCCAAAATATTGCAATTTGCTTAGGTAAATTGTGGCACAAATACCAATCAACATTGGATTAGTTCTTTGTTGGGTCTAGGAACCAGTGCAGAGTTGCAGTTATAACCCATACTTGTTTAATCTGTTAAATTAAAATAACGTTTACCCATGACCTTTAATTATTTCATTTTTCAAGATGGTGTGCCCTGCCCAGCATGCTATTTGGAGGTGATGTCCTGTGAAGTTCTGGTGTCTATTTTAAGTGACTGATTCCTGGTACTTACCCTCCTTGCTAACCATGTGGACCTCCCCTTTCATGCTTGCCTTCCTCATGGGAAGTGGGCTCCACGTGGGCAGGGACCATGCTATGTCCTGTTTGCTGGTAAAGCTACAGTGTCCGGCACAGAGCAGGGGTGGAGGGATGAAGGGACGGAGGGATGAATGGAAAGCAGGTAGGCAGGTAGATGGACAGGGAAGGAGTCTGCATAAGAAAGCATTTATTCATGGTGGGGTGGAGGGTCACACATACAGGCCCTGGATGGTGTGCAGGGACTGCTTCCAGCTGTCCTTCCAGCGCTGAGCCTCCTTCATCTGAAATGTGCAGTCATCCTGGATCCTCTTCAGCTCCTCCTCAAATGATGCTAAATATTTCTAGAAGGAAAGTAGCAGGAGGGGTCCACATGAGGAGAGACATCTGGACCCCCTCCCCTAGGGCAATGCTATAACTTGCTGGCAGGTGACTTTTAACCCATTCCAGGCACTGGCAAGAGTTCCCCAAGTCACTTCTCAGGTAGAAACCAGGTAGGCCTAGTTGTTTCCCCCATTTTACAAGACAGGGAAACTGAGGCTCAGAGCCTGGCCTGGGGTCACCCAGCTAGGAGGAGGCTGATCAAGGACTAGGACCTGTGTCTATCTGACTCTAGGCTCAGCACTCCTTCCTGAGCTCTGTCCCACACTGTGGCCTCTCGGGAGCTCAGGGCTCCCAGTTTTTGGGTAGGCTGGACCTCCCAGGCCTCCCGCCCTCACTGAACTCAGCAGGCCAAGCTGTACCCTCTGCCTGGGGCTTGGAGGGAAGCTTGGGGAGGGCTGACCCTGGGCACTTCAGCCTCTCCCAATAAGGGGACCAGCTGGTCTCCGGGCAGGACAAGGTTTCTCTCTGGGCATCAGGACCAAAGGTCCACAGATCTTCAGAGCCAAGAGGTCCCTCAGGTGGCATCTGGGTGTAGCCTCCTCATCAGGCTGTCCCCAGGGGGTCTGACAGGCACTGGAATCAAATCCTGGCTCTGCCACTCTGTAGTGGCATAGAGGGGACAAGTTTCTTTAAGCCTCAGTGTCCTCATCAGTGAAATGAGGATAATAATTTTACCTCCCTTGTGGAGGTGTTAGGAGGATTCATGTCAAGAGAAGCAGCTCCCAGTAAGCACTTCCCAGTGAGTTCTCAGGAGCTGTGACCACTCCTGCTGCTGTGCCCCCTCCGAGCCTACTGCCACTATTGCTTCCGTGCCTGGTGACAACATTCCCTAGCTGTGACCCCACTGTGCCTTTGGAAAGCCTTTCTTCACCCCCAGTCTGGGTGGGATGTCCCTCAGCTGGGCTCTTGCAGCATTGGGATCATGCCTCAGACCCACACTCGCACTGGGATGGGAGATGACCCACAGCGGCAGCGTCCTCGTGCCTGTGAACAGCGACCATCCTGAGTGTTGAGACCTGCAGCTCTGGGGTGCACTGACATGTGTTGCCTGCTGCACCAACCAAATGTTGGGATGCCGGGTAATGGGAAGCTCCCCCTTCCCAAGGCAGCCAACCTGAGCTGTGCTCCCCGGGACACACCCACTCCACCCCATCTCACCAGGTACACAGCATCTCGGGCTTCCACGGCTGCCAGGTGGCCCAGGGTGGTTTTGGTGGTGGATATCGATGATGTTGGCCGGAGAAGAATCTTGTTTTGGATGGTGACTTCGGTGGGTTTGATTCCTGGCCACTTCCTACAAACAAATGTGTGAAAATCTCACAGACTTGTCTTCATCTTTCATAATCCACCTACCATCCCTGTTGGAAAAGCTTAGCATTTCTTTGAGAAAATTATCATGGCTTTAAATATCTTAATGAAAATAAAAAACATACTGAGTGTGAATGCTGCACTTGTTCAAGCTGCTTCATATTAGCCCACACTGGTCTCATCGCTGTGCACGGTCTGGGGTTCTGGTGGGGAAGGGGAGGGCCACAGCTCAAGTTGCTTCCCCTTTCTGAGTCTCAGTTTACTCACTGATCTGCCAGCCAGGTGGTGGCCACCAGTGCCTGGTATGCTTTTCCTATGATGCTCTAAAGACCACTTCTGAGAACATAGCTGGGCATATCACTGCTCTGCTTCTTCTTGCAGAGTCATACTCTTGGGCACAGGGGACAGGCACATTGCCAGCTCTCTTCACTCATGACAGCTGGAGGGGCTCACAATGCCAGCAGTGACCCGAGAATATGTCTCCCACTGAGCCAGGCCTCCCTTTCATCGTGGGACCCTTTGGTGGGTCCTTATCATGTGAACTAATAGCTGTTGAGCTGTTCATATGTGCTGGGGCACCTCATGTACTACCTCATTTAACTTTCTCTTGATCAAGGTAGGTGGCCATGCCCATTTCATAGATTAGGAAACCTAAGGCTCAGAACACAATGCCTTTCCCAGGTCTGTGTGACTTCAGAGCCCAAGCCCCTAACCATTACCCTGCACCACCCCCAGCAGATACAGCCATTGACAGTAGTCCTTGCTGCTCTTGGCTCTCACCTGCTTCCACGTTCAATCAGGGGTTTCTCACTCTCTTCCTTCAGGGAGAGCCCAGCGAGTTTCCTTCGTATGAGTATTGATATTTTCTGTTTGGGGGGCTCCATCCCTAGAGGCAAGAGACGGGATAGTGACTGCAGCCACACCGACAGCCTGAGATCAAGGGATTTCCCTGGCATTACATTTAGAGGCGGGAGGACTGGCGCCCCTCCTCCCCACTCGGAGTTATGGCAGGCTGAGCCCTCTCCATGGAGAAGCTGAATGCACCAGCCACACAGCTCGGGGCGGAGGAATTTGAGCAGTGGTGTGGGTGCTGTTCCCAGCTCCAAACCCGAGCTTGATGCTCTGACCTTCCTGCAGTTTCCATGAGTCCCAGGATATGCTTCATAGAGCCTTCTTTGGCTTAGGCTAGCTCATACGGGTTCCAGACTAAGAACCTCCCCTGGAACAAACACGTTCAAGGTTGTCCCTTGACTATCTAGCTCAATAAGCCAATCTTTGATGCTCTGATGTTCTTTCTAGATCGGGGGGTGAGAGGGTGCAGGGCTCTGTGTGCAGAGAACCGGCAGGCAACCTGTGCACTCCTCTGCCATGAATGGCAAGGCCAGGTGGCCTGGCTCAGAAGCTGAGTTACAGAGCAGGCAGAGGCCTCCTAGGGCCTGGTGCAGGGAGTCTTCCTGGCTCAGGGGTTCCCTGCAAGGGACTGTGATCGGCTCCACTACCAGCTCACCTGCCTGTTCTCCCTGGGGTCTTGACCCCAGCATCTCTGCAAGGCCCTGATTTCCCAAACGAGGCTCACCCTTGACAGAGACCTCTGATATAGAAAAGTGACCAACACTTCAAAAATGTGTACACACTTTGATCCAGACGCCGCACTTCTAGGAGTCTGTTGCCCTAGAGATGCATGGATGCAGAGATTCTCTTCAGCATAATTACAGGGGTGGGAAACTGGAAATGGTTCAAAGTTCAATAGCAAACGGACTAATTAGTAAGTTACAGTGCTTATTAAATTATGGTGTGCAACAACTGAAAACGCTGAAGAGAAGTGTTGACTGGCCAGCCGGGTCAAGGTTCACCTGCAGGGAAATCAGGTCACAAAAGTGTCCAAGCCCTGTAATCTTCCCCAGCCACCCTGACACACAGGCCTGTGCCCAAAGGGAAAGGTCTGGCAGGATGAACAGCAAGAGCAAAGGGTGCTGCTTTCAGGGCGGAAGGACTGTGTTCTTCACTTGCTTCTTGGTTCATACTGATTTTCTTGTTTTACCGGAATGAACGTTTATTGTTTTTGTAATAAAAACCTTTACAAATAAAAAGGATATATTTTAATTACTTTATAGATCAGTGATAAATGGATAACATTTAATGTATGATTTTAATCTTATAGCTATAAAAGTAATATGTACATTATTAAAAATGTAAACATCACTTCGTGATGGGAAAAAAAAAGGTTTTAGGGATCTCTTTCAATCCCACCCAGTAGAGGTGACCATCAGCAGTTTGGTACCAGTCTCTGTCTCTGTCTCTCACACAGATTCATTTAAACAGATGTGAGTGTGCATGTTGATATCATGCATGTGTTTTAAAAGATGGGATCATAGACGTGTTCTGTTTGTCCATTTGTTTTTTCACACAACAGCCCTCCTTCATGTCTTTCCGGGTCAGCACATGCAGACCTAATTTAACAGCTGCACGGTATTTACCTGCACATCTGGCACCCTCATTTATGCATCCAATTTTCTTTTCTTTTCTTTTTTTTTTTTTGAGTCAGGGTCTTGCTCTGTCACCAGGCTGGAGTGCAGTGGTGTGATCAAGGCTCATGGCAGCCTCGACTTCCCAGACTTAAGCCATCTTCCCACCTCAGCACCCTCCCAACCGCCCTCCACCTCCAGGAGCTGGAGCTGGAACTACACGTGCACACCACCACACCGAGCTAATCTTTAAATTTTTAGTAGAGATGGGGTTTTGCCATGTTGCCCTGGCTTGTCTCAAACTCCTGGGCTCAAGAGATCCACCCGCCTCAGCCTCTCAAGTGCTGGGACTACAGGTGTGGGCCACTGTGCCTGGCCCATTGAATTTTCTGTATATCGATGTTAGTGTTGCTTCCAATTCTTTGCCATTTCAAACAGTGCTGTGAATATTTTTGAACATATACCTTTGAAAAAGTGTCCAAGTATTTCTTTCAGATAAATTCCTAGAATTAGACATGCTAGGCCAAATGTCTTAATGCTCAGAATTTTGACAGGCACTGACAAATTGTTCTCTATGACAGCGGTATCCATGTATGCTCTACCAAGAGCCTCTGTGGAGTCTCTGTTTCTTGACATTCTTTTACGTTGTTACCAAATGTAAAAACTTTGCCAGGCTATTGGTGAGAAATGATATCTAAATAATACTTAAGATTTTCATTTTTCATCATCAGTGAAGTTGAGCATCTTTTACAGTGACTAACCATATGAACTGCTTCTCTTTTGAAGAGCATGGGTTTGTCCTTTGTCTCTTTAAAAATTTGACCTGTGAGAGTTCTTTGTACCATAGGGATATTAACCCTTTCTCTGATCTATAAGTTGTGAGGAATACTTTTCCAGTTTGTGGTTTATCTTTCCATCTATTGACATGTTTCTGTTTTTGTTTTGGCTACAAAGAGCCAGCCATTCCCTCTATGGCTTCTAGCTCTCCTGTCATACTTAGAAAAGCTGTCCCTAACCCCAAGAGTATGCAAATGTTTACTCAATAGGGTTTCATTTTTTATATATAAACATTGGGCCATCTGGCATTTGCTTTTTAATCAAAAAATTATTTTTAAGGAAAACAAAAATTAATCAGTTCCCTCAATGGATCACCTGTTTTCACTCTGATAGAGTTGGGGAAAGCAGACCCCTACCCAACCTAGCCCTCACTAGCCCCCCGGGGCCAGGACACAAGGCTGGTGGTGCCTCTTACTTGCAACCTGGACGTCGTCAATGGTGACCACCTCATCCAACTGCAGTAGGAACTTCTCGGTGAAGGCGGCCAAGTTGGTTATGAAAACCTGGCCATTCCTTCTGGAACATTCCTGGAAAAAACATGGTGAGAACAGTGCTGCTGGGAGAGGATCATCCCTCTAAGGCCAGCTGAAGAGGGGATGGGTGAACTCTGCAGGGAGATCTGGGGACCCAAGCCATTATAGCCACTGTGTCCAAGTAACCAGCATCTGGCCCTCAGCCAGGAGGCCTATTCCAAGACGTGATCTGGTTTAAACATAAGAAATGATTCAGAAATGGACAAGGGACACAGACAATTCACAGATGAGGAAATAAAACTAGACATGGATCACAAAATAAAAGTTATCATTAGTAATTTTATAATTAATTAATTTAGAAGTCAAAAAGGATACAAGTTAAAATGCCAATAATGGCCATTTTTACCTACAAAACCTAACCACGATCATGCCTGCTTTGGCCAAGATATCAACAAAGGGCTGCACCTGGTGCTGTCAGTGGCTGTCCATTGGGCTATTTTTGGAGCATGCCTGGACTGGGGAATCAATAGTATCACTGACCTACCTCCAGCTTCTCCCTGTTCATCCTAATCATGCTGTCCAGCTCTTCCTGCCTTTTGTCTTCACTTAAATGTAGAGACTCCATTTCTTGGAAATGTATGGGGTGTCCAAGATTTAGATGGAGCTTCTGGGCATTTTTGTCCTTTAATCAAACAATCCAGAATTCAGCGGTGATGTTAACCCACCAAAAGTCACTGACCTATGTCTTCTGTCAATTATGATTATGGCCAGACTCATGTGTCCTCTGACCTGGGTCTGTGGGGGTGATGGGTGGGCAGAAGAGTGGCAGAGGGGTTAAGAGGGGGGCATGGCTGGAGCTGACTCAAGGGGTTTGGAAGAGAAAAGGCTGAGCATCTGTCCAGCACAATCAGAGCTTTAGTCCAGTGAAATCAGTAGCACCCATGTTCCACAGCTCCAAAGACCAGTGTGGACAATTATTGTTATCTCAATGAGTACAGCCCCATGGAACCCAGCACACCCACCCACTATAGCCAACAAGGAGTTTACTGAACACCTTCTATGTAGAAGCTGTTGGCTCAGTTCTTATTTTGCCAATGGCTCCTGTCCCTCAGACCCCATCCAAAAATCCCAAGCCCAGCTCACCTTCTTCCCTTGGACTTGGCCCTTCCCGCAACCTGCCACCATTTCTGAACTCCCAGTTCCCCTGGTCCTGGAGTGGAAGGGCTCATCCTAAGGCCCTTACCTTTCTTTTCTCCAGCTGCTTCTGCTGTCCCTCAAACTGTCCTCGGATCTCCTTTACGGAGGTGCAAAACATTTTCCAGTGGTGCTCCTTGAAATTCTCCATCACCAGCCAACACACTTGGGGCAGCAGCTCCTCAAATCTCCTCATCTGGATCCGTAATTCTGCCAGAATTGCGGGTAAGAGGCCAAGGGAGGGAACAGATTAGAATCAAGTTGCAGAGGTGATCTCTACAACGAGGCCCAAAGCAACTTCCCAAAGACAAAATATTGGTCTCCAATGTGGTAACAGCTATTCCATTGAAAGGGGTCCTGAGGTCAAACCAGTATAGAAAATACAGGGTTAGCCAGTTGCAGTGGCTTACACCTGTAATCCCAGCACTTTGGGAGGCTGAGGTGGGAGAATTGCTAGAGACTAGGAGTTTAAGACCAGCTTGGGCAACATAGCAAGACCCCGTCTCTAAAAAAAATTTAAACATTAGCCAGGCATGATGGTACATGCCAGCTACTCAGGAGGCTAAAGTGGGAGGATTGCTTGAGCCCAGGAGTTTGAGGCTATGGTGAACTATAATTGCACCACACTGTAGCCTGGGCCACAGAGTGAGACCCTCTCTTTAAAATAAAATAAAATTAAAATAAAATAAAATAAAATAAAATAAAATAAAATAAAATAAAGGCTTAAATAAATTCAAAGGGTTTCTCCTATATACTCTGCAGACTTCTCATCTCATTTAAAATGCGTGGTGTCTCTTGGCATTTTTGGCAAGTTCTCATCCATTATTTTGACTATTGCCTTGATTCTAGGTCTTCTTCTTTCTCTGTATCTCCAAATGGCTGTATGTTAGACCTGCTCTTTCATTCACGTCTCTTTACCCCTCTCCCATATTTTCATCTCTTTATCTTTCTGTGTTATATTCTGGTTATTTTCTTTGGATTTGTCTTCCAGTTCACCAACTCTACTTTCAGCTATATGTAACCTGGTAGTAAAGTCATACATAGTTTTAAAATTTCAACTCTTAATTTTTCCTTCATAAAAGTTCTATTTTATTCTCTTTTATAGCTACTTGGTCACTTTCATAGTCTCTTGCTTCTTATTCATGTTTCCAATTCCCCTTTTATTTGACTAGAAGTGTATTATTTTATGTTCTGTGTCTAATACTTATAATATCTGAAGTCTTTACTGGTCTCCTGCTGCCTCTTTCTCAAGGCATTTTGTTTCCTTGTGTTTATGGGGATTTTGTTGCTCTTTGTTTATCACTGTGAGCTCTTATTCTGGGCATTTTATTTGTGGGAATCCTTTGAGGCCTGAACTGAAGGTAAGTTTTCCTAGAGAGAATTTGTTATATCTCCAACAAACAAGTTTCTGAACACCACCAACTCAAGATCATTTTAAGCTCAGTTATTAGCTTGAGATCTTTTGGATGAGCCACAAAAGCAAAATTGAATTCATGTTTAGATAAGTGTGAATTATCTAAACATAAATTTAGAAACCACACAGGGACTGGCATATAGTTCTGGATTTCTCTTTGGAGTTTTTTTTTTTTCTTCACCCGGTACCATGGTTTTTGATGTTTCCTTCTCACTGCTGGAGGGACAGAGGGAGGAGCTTGGTTTCCGTCTCATTTGCCTTACTCTGGAAGCCCTGTTGGGTTCCAGCTTTAGGTGGCTTGCTCCTTTTAGACTTCCCACTTTGGAGGTCTGTGGATTTGTCTCTTGTTCCCAATACCCTGGAGGCCATGAAAATAGAGGCTCAAGTTCACCTGGGAGTCAGCAAATGCCCCTAGGGCAATAACCAGGGTTACTACTCAATTTTTCACTCAGAGTTTCTATTTTCACTTAATTTTTGGCTTTTGTGTGTTTCTCACTTTACAGATAGCTTTCTAATGCATTTAAAAGATTTTATTACAAAAATATCTTATGCAGCATTTTACATGTTTTTAGTGGGAGACTGAATCCCCCATTAGCCTGCCAAGCTGCGGGAAATAGAAGTCTTCACTAGTTGTGAGTTTACCAGAGAGGGATGCAGTCTGCAGCATTTTCCAAGCCCATTTGACCACGGAACCCTTGTTTTGAGGACGATCATGTAGGATGGGATCCCCCAGAGTTCACATGGAGGAAATTCTGAGCTAGAGAAACACAACAATGCCTGCAGTTTCAATTCCAGTCATTCAACAACCACAGCTATGAACACTATCACTGCTTAATTTCCTGCACATGCCAAGTCTGTGTGAGGGACTTAATCCTTCTGTGGTGGGTGTTATTAATATCTGCAGTCCACAGACAAGAAAACTGAGGCTTTGGCTGGGCGCAGTGGCTCATGTCTGTAATCCCAGCACTTTGGGAGGCCAAGGCAGGCAGACCATTGGAGGTCAGGAGTTCGAGATCAGCCTGGTCAATGTGGTGAAACCCTGTCTTTACTAAAAATACAAAAATTGGCCAGGTATGGTGACATGTGCCCGTAGTCCCAGCTACTCAGGAGGCTGGGGCAGGAGAGTCTCTTGAACCCAGGAGATGGAGGTTGCAGTGAGCCGAGATTGCGGATCATGCCACTGCACTCCAGCCTGGGCAACAGAGTGAGACTCTCCCTAAAAAAAAAAAAAAAAAAAAAAAAAAAAAAAAAAAAAAAAAAAAAAAAAGAAAGAAAACTGAGGCTCAAGAGGTGAGATCATTTGGCCAAGGTATTACAGCTGGGAAGTGGCAGTGCTGGGTCGTGGCCCAGGTTTGGGTATCCCCTGAACTTTCCTCCTTCTACCCAGAGGGCCTCTGAAACTGCACAGTAGACCACAGCAAAGTGTGACAGATTCATACAATGGAATATTATTCATGGATAAAAAGGAATGAAGTGCTAGCACCATCTACAACATGCATAAACCTTGAAATATTATGCAAAATTAGGTAAGCCAGTCCCAAAGACTACATACTATACAATTATATTCTCATAAAAGTAAAGAATAAGGAAGTCTATAGAGACAGAAAGTAGATTAGTGGTTGCTTTAGGCTGGGGAGGGGCTGGGAGATGGGGTTTCTAAAATTGATGGTAGCGGTGACTGCATAACTGTAAATAAACTAAAAACCACATTGAGTATACTACGCGGGTAAATTTTATGGTATGCAAGTATCAGTAAAGCTGTCAAAAATATCTGTAGAAGAAACAAAATATTTTTAGAGGTACAAATCACCATATTTCTCAAGAAAAGTCAACTTTTTTCTTGCGTGGTTGCATTTCCCCAGTAAAATCTGGTTATTGTTTTTACCTAATTTTAAGAGGTCAGCTTTTCACAGGGAAGCTCCTCTGCCTGCCCTAGAGGGGAGGATCCAGGCCACAAGGCTAAGGCTGAGCTCCATCACTGGCTTCGCACCCTACCCGGCTCTCCATGCCTACCTGCTGCCTATACTCACCTATGAGGCAGGAGTTGTGGTACTTATTTGCCTGGCTCTGGTAATCCAGGATCTTTTTGCCGATGTTCTCGGCGCACTGGTCAAAGGTGTCATACATGCAGTCAGGCCTGGTGACCGGGCGTTTTTCTTTACGGTAGAACTCCTGCCAGAGAGGGTGACCATGTGTGCGTGAGGACCCCGTGGGACTCTGGCTCTTGCTCCTGGGATCCACCAGCCTGCCCTCACCTCCACACTCCCTAGCCTTTGCTCGTGGCTTCCCCTGTGGAGGTGACACAGTCAGACACTCCTTCTTCCCTGTCTGCACGTGTTGCCTCCCTGGGCCCACCTGGAGTGAGTGGGGCCATGGCCAGCCCTTGTTATTTCCTGAGTGACTGGTGAGAATCCTATTTATTCTTCAAGACCCAAATCAATGGAATCTCAAATTGGTGACCAGGTTGGGAGCTTACAAGGAAGTGCCAAGCTGGGTATAGGCTGCAGGCCACAAAGATGCGTGAGCCAGGGACCCTGCCCTGAAGGAGGCAGACAGACCCGTGGGAGGCAGAAAGGAGAACTCACCCACACCACGGTGCAGGGTGTGTGGGAACAGGGCACTGGGCAGCTTGTCTGGTGCCTGCTCCCACTGCCCCACCTCCTTCTGTGTCCCTGCCACATCTGTCAGCTTCCCACGGGGCCTGGGTGCCTTGGGGACAGAGGGTGGGCTTGTTCCTCTTGGCACACACAGTACCTGACATGCAGTTGGTGTCTTAAGAAATGTTTGGTGATCAATTTGATGAATGAATGAGGTTTGGTTTCTAGAAGGAAAAAAACTCATAGGGAGATGACAGAAGCTGGGGAGCTGTGGTCATGGCGGGGATGGAATCCTCTCTTCCTCATTTTCCCCCAAGTGGCCATGATCAGCAGACTGCAGAAGGTAGGGGTGGCTTCCAGGGCAGGCACAGGCCATGGGTGGTGGTCCTCACCTCTGCAACCGCCAGCAGGTTCTCATTGCTTTCCCAGAGGAGGGTCAAGATGATCCCCTTAAAATCCCTGCAACACACAGGAGACAGATACCTGAGGGGCCTGGTCTAGACACACCAACATGGACAAAACCAAACGAGCAGAACTTTCCAAGTCCTCTGTTTTGGCCATGACACTCCTTGAAATTACTCACTGCTGCCCCAGGACCTCTGCACACTCTGATTCCACTCTATAACAGCAGCTAACTTTCTTCTCTTCTTGGTTGCATTTGTTCCTGCCCTTCCTCAGACCCCAGCTCAGCAGCAATTTCTGACCACCTGGTTTTAATGATCTTGGATTAATGCCCCCTCAGCCTTATGACACATGCCAATCAGGTGGATTTGGGATTGATTTATGTGACTGGCTGATTAACCTCCATCTCTCCCAGCAGACTGTGAAGGCCACCAGGTGTTTAAGATCATAAACGGGAGGCCATCAGGCCGAAACGGTTCCAGTGCCTGGAGTTTCTCGCTAGAAAACAAACCCAACTCAGAATGAATGGTCATCGTCTAGGAAAATGAAATAGAAGCTTAACCAATCAGAAACAGCCAACTAGGAACTTCTCACTTTTACCAAACAAATATTTTCTTTGCCTTCCTTCTATGAACACCTTATAAAAGGTTTCCCCTGGTGTTCCCTGAATCGCTTGGGGTCTGGCACTGCCCAATTCATGAATTACTGACTGTTCAAATAAACTCACCAACATTTTAATGTGCTTGAGTTTATCTTTTGACACAGGACATGGACCTGTCTGTACTTGGTTACCATGGAATCCCCGGCCCCATTGCAGTGCCTGCACCGGGCAGTGCCTCGATTAGCTGAAAGAATGATTACTCATAAATAGTAATCAAATGAACAGGACTTCATGCAGGACCAAACCTCCTCCTGCATCGAGCTATAAAAATTAGAGAGCCGGAGTATTCACGGTGCAGGAGCATCCTTGGGTGTGGGACAAGGGAAGTGTCTACCTGCCAGCTGGAGGCCACACCTGGGCTGCCTGATGTCACAGCCATCCTCTGCAAAGTTCATGACCCCAGAGATGAGGGTCCCAGGGTGAAAGGGCGGATGAGAGGGGGCCACTGTTTGGGGGGATCTCTAATACAGGGGGACAGGGAGCTCCTTTGTGGAACTTGACTTTCTTCGAAGGCTTTTCGTTTTCTGAACTTGGAATTTTGCTTGTTTGCTTGCAATGAAGCTCTACTAAGTTTAACTGCTTTTGTTTTCATCACTGGAGTTACAATAAAGGAAAAGAGAAATGGGGGAAAGTACTGAAAAAAAGTACAAAAAAAAAAGCTCAGACCTCGAACGGGGTCTGCTGCCCTACCACCAGGGAATGCTTGTTAGCTTGGAAAATGTGAGATGTTGATGAAAATGTTTCTCAACAAATTCAGGTGAAATGGGCTGAGACAAACTGACCTTGACCTTTGCTATCCCCCCTCACCCCTCCTCTGCTTGGACCTGCCGTTCCCCTTTCTGATTTTTCCCCTCAGCTGAGTCACATTTGCTGCCCCTCCCAACCCAAAACAGGTTAAATGTAGTCAAAAGGAAAGGTGTTGTTACTCACTCAGCAGCAGGAGGAGGCTTGTCCCCAAGCACCTGGTACTTTCTCTCCATTTTGTTGAGCTTGGGGTGCCGTGTGAAGCTGTGGGACAAAGGTGGGTGGGTGGTCTGGAGGCCGTGGACAGACGCAAGGCAGGTCTGAGCCTGCAGGATCCCTGCCTGGGTTTCTGGAGGCATGGGGCCTGCCCGTGGGCAACCGGACTCCCATTTCTAGGTCCCAGCCCTTTGAGACGTGTCCCTTCTTAACAGCTGTGAGTCTACCTTACCGTGGGTTGAAACCTTAACCACCTTAACTGCTGAAAGCCAACCACAGCTGCTGTGAGAGGGCGAGGGGCGGAGGTGCTCAGGCCCAGAAATTTGCATTCTTGCTTCCCCGTGATGAGGACCCAAAGGAAAAAAACATTGAGTCACAGGTAGGGTTGCTAGATTTAGCCATAACAATACAGTACGCCCATTTAAATTTGAATTTCATATAAACAGAGTAATTTTCAGTATTAGTGTATCACGTGCAGCATTTGGGACATACTTATGCTAAAAAAATTAGGTGGTGTTGATCTGAAATTCCAGTGTAGATGGGCACCCTCTCTTTTATCGGGCAGCCCTAGTGACATGGACTTCGTTTTGTAACCTCTGAGAGACTGAACATGGAAACAGGTTATGGCCGGATCATATAAAAAACAGAGCTCTGTCCCGTGATGTGCAGCAACCTAACCAGGAGGCCGCCCCGCCTTAGCTACAAGAAACCCCCCAGGAAGTCAGCCTGCTCTAAGTCAGATTTGCAGGAAGTGAGATTGTCATCCCTGGGGACGGTCCAGGAAGCTACAATATCACCTATAATAGTAGGCCCCAAACGGCCAGGACTTAATAAATGACAGCTTCCCTAATGTTTGTCCTCATTTCCAACTTTGGGTCAACCAGAGAAAGCCAAACATGTTCCCTAACCAATCACATGGGATGCCCTGCTTTCGGTGGGCAGCCTCCAGCTTCCCCATGCCAGCATCCCCTAACCAGCGCACAGCTAGAGAGGAGGGTAATGCTTCCCACTCCTCTGCCTGCCCTGGGAGCTCTGCTGAAACGCCCTGGATGGTGGCTGACTCTCTGCTGCGGTCAGCTCTGAGCCAATAGCCTTTGCTCTTCTCATATGGCTGGTCTTTGTTTCTTTCCTCATTGCACACAGCACACATGCTCAAAAAGACCTTCTGGAGGAAAAGGCAAAGCAGGGATTCCCCTTGCCTTCTCAAAACCAGGAACGAACCCATGTCAACCAGGTTGACACAAAGAGCTAGCAAGTCTACTCAGCCACGGGGCTTCTGATATGCACCTTCCATAAAATCTGCATGTGGGGTAAACTTTGAGTCTAACGACCCCACTGAGACTTGGTGGGCAGGGTGCCAAGGACCAGAACTCTTTCTGCTCTGTGATGTCCCTCCAGGAAAGCCATCTGCCCTGTCTTTCTAACCATGACCATGTGTGGAAGGTGGCAGGGCTGAGATCCATCAGCACCATGGACAACCAGCAAACCAAGGATGGCGCCTGACTAAAGCTGGCATCAGAGCTCACCCCTCACTGCACCCTGTGGAGTCCCAGAGCTGTGAGCACTGTGGTGCCTTCCGAGGAAAAGCCTGGGAAAGCCATAGGTCGTCTCCTGCCTCTGTGTGGGGGGATGAACTGGGAAGGGGCGATTCTGGCTGCCCTGTGTCCTACCTGCTTGCAGAGGTGCCACTGGCGCTGGGCACAACCTTCTTCCCAGAGTTTTCTGGCCGGCACCGATGTCGCTTGAAGCCTTTGGGTGACGAGGGCCCAGGACAGGAGCAGAGGACAGGAGGTGAGAATGGGCCACACAGTACCACCAACCCCCGCCTCACTGCTGCCCTGAGACCCACAGGCCTGTGTGCCTCTACCTGTCTGGGACCGATCTTTGTCACAATGGTGGGTTGGCCATTTTGTGTTGGGAAGTCTGAAACCAAAGGAAAGGGTGTGAGCTCTTCTACGGTGACCATGGGGACAGCTCAGGCTGGGCTCTGAGCAGCATTCCAGTTAGTCCTCAGCACCACGTCAGTCAGTCCTGTCACGAGCCCCATTTCAGATGAGGAACTGGGGCTCTGGGTGGGTAAGCCCTTTGCCTGAGGTCACAGGCTCTCAGGGGTGGACTCACGTGGGAACCCCAGTGTGTGGGGCCCCAAAGCTGGTCCCTGAAGGTCCAGGGCCAGGGCAGGGGTGGCAGGGTCTCAGGTGCACCCTGGGGCCACTCACTGCAGGATCTTCCTGATCACATCCACAGCTGGGTCTTCAATCAGGGGCTTCCCCATGCGGCTCAGCTGGGCGAAGGACTCAGGGGTGACCACATCCGGCTTGGCCTCCTCCTCAAGGGCTTCTGAAGATGTCAGGATGTCACTCTCTTGCTCCAGGTCCTTCAGGATGGTATTCTGCAGGCCAGAGAGAAGGGTCTGAGTGTGTAAGGACTGGCCCAGGTACCAGCGAGGCAGCAGGTCGAATTCATGTTCCCTCCCACCCTGCCTCAGTGGAGTGGCTGCAGGCAAACTGACTGACCTCATTGAGCCACTGTTTTCTCCTCTGTAAAGTGATCTCCCTTACAGAGCCATTAATTCATTCATCCGTTTATTCATGCCTTTAGAAATGTTTCCTGGGTGCCTGCTCTTCACAAGCCTCTGCCCATATTCTAGGAACACAGGGGCCAGGAGGCCATACATGTCCCCTCCCGTCTCAGAGTTTGTGGTTTAGTCAGAAAAGACAGACATTTAACTTGCACTCATACCAATAAATGCTTCTCCAAAACTGGGACCAGTGCTGTGAAAGAAAAGTTCCAGTATCTTCTGTGAGATTGAAGTTAGACCTGCAGATGTGCCTGGTCAATGTTTTTGACCAAATGGATGAAGGAATGAATGCCAGGTTGAGTGAGTGGCCAACTCCCCTTGAGCAGGCTCCTAGAGAAAGTGTGGAATTGGTGCCCGCGGTGAGCACCTAGGCTGTTCTCTCTTTCATTCTGAGTCTCATCTTAGCAATGGCCTGTCAGTCCCTTGAGTGAAGGTCCTGGGAGACCTTCACTCAAGGTCTCCTAGTCACTCAATACCTTCATGCTAGACCCTTGGAGCCCCATTGCACCAGAGGTAGATGGATGCCTGGTGCTGGCTGCATGGTGGGAAGGGCCTCCCCATGGAAGGAAGGCTGGTTAAGGATTGGCAGTGAGAGCAGGGCCTAGCATTGCTCTACTCTGCAGACATTGGTTCTCGGGCCCTTCCCTGGAAGTTGGCTGAGCATCTCAGCCCATTGTGAGGTGTGGGCAGGAGTGGGGGTGATGCAGGCTCTGCCCATAGAGGCTTGCAGTCTCAGGACAGACAGCCTCCGAAATGGAGACTCCACCGTTTGGTCTGCAGGCTGTTGGGGAAGTGGGAGGTACTATGGGCTAGGAGACCCCGACCCAGACCAGGGGGTGAGAGGAGGCTTGGTGGGGAGTGACATCTTAGGCAGAGTGAGAGGGATGAAGAGGCATGGAGGACAAGCCACAGAGGCTGCTGTGTGTCCAGTGAAAGGGTTTGGACTTTGCCCCAAGGGTAGGGGAGTGACATGGTCAGACCAGCCTCTTCCGGCCATATTCGGGGAACAGACCATGGGAGATGTGAGAGGATGTGGGCATCAGGCAGGCAAGAGGCAGGGGTCTGGATGAGGTGTTGGGGGTGCCATGGGGAGAAGCCAGGGCTGCCCCTGGGTGCAGGAGGGAAGGAAGAGGCTGAGAGGTGGGACTGGCTTGAGATTCCGTGGATAGGGTGAGTGAGGGTCCTGATGGAGCAGGGGAGGTAGTGCCAGGAGCTGAGGGGTCTCCTCCGAGACCAATGCAAGGAAGTGGCCCACTGGGGACTCAAATCCAGCTCTGACTTCACAGCTTGTGATCTTTCCATGGCATCTCAGGAAGCCTGATGTCCTGCGGAGGCCTGGGATTCCCCTGTTCCCTTCAGCTCTGCTGAGCCCTGCAGGTCTCCTGGGAGCCCAGACAACAGCTCACCCACCCTTTCCTGCCACCCCATCCCATTCCTTACTGTAAAGACCAGTTCAGTCATGGACACCTTGTCCAGGCTGCAGTTAAGGTACCGAATCCTCTGGCTCAGTTTTTCTTTCCAAGTTTGGACGAAGCCGAGGAGTTCTTCTGTGGTCGCTGTCTAGTGAGAACAGGGAGGAAGAAAGCCCCAAGGAAGCAGACCGCAGGAGGGTGGGCAGACTCTGCGGGAAGTGCGGGAACAGGGGCTGGGCTGGTGAGGATGCCTCTTGGCTTGATGGAGGCTCCTCACATGCAGGGAGGGCCCTTGGGGATTGGGGAAGGCTGGGCTGGCTCTGCTAGGCGGCCTTCACTTCACAGTGAAGGACAGCACACCCTTCACTGATGGGGACATCAGGAGTTCTCTTCCTGGATCTACAGGTTCAACTCTGGGCAAACAACTTAAACTTGCTCAGCTTGGGCTCCCCATCTGTAAGATGGGGATACAAAATATTCCCTAGGATCTCCTCTGGCTCTCACATTCTACGTTTAGAAGGAAACATTTGACCCAGGTGGCAAGGGCATGCAGGAGTGTGTAGGAAAGTGATCTGGCTATCTCCATAGCAATGTCTAACACTCCCTTGGAGCAGCACCCCACAGGTGTGCAGGAATGCGACTGCGAGGATCTTCCCTCTTGCCACACATTCAAGGCACACTCTTGTCCCCTAATCATCCCTCTGCAGACTGTCCAGCCAGCCTCCTCCGTCAACACAGGAATGCCCGCACACCCATGCCCACATGCTCCTCACCTGGCTGGGAGGCTGGGCAAGCCCCTGGCACCCACCTAACACCCTAACAGGAGAGGACAGAGCAGGGGTTGGGAGGTGAGGATGCGAGAGACTGGATCTTTCTGTTCTGGAGAGGTGGAGCTGCCTTAAAGAGCCTGTTGAAGAGTTACAGCTGATTAACCTCATCTTCCCCCTGCTTCCCATTAGAGGGCTCATAAGGGACATCAGGCAAGTCACAGGCAAAATATAGGAGCCACCTTTGCTCTGCACATCTGCACTGCAGGGCAAGTAATCTCAGTGGATGTGTGGAAACAAGTGCATGCATATACATAACAGGGTTTAGAGTGCCTCTGTGCAAAATGAGAATAGCGAGAGGGACATTTATTCTGCAAACTATGCTTTGTGGGTGTTTACGTTTCTTTCAAGAGTCATGCAATATACTATATAAGAAAAAGCAATAAAGACAGAAAAATGTCCTCTCAGTGCTAATAATACAACTGCAACTCTGAGTCACTGAAATGGTAGAGAAGACAGAGAATGGTGAAGAGAAAGCTTCCCACTGCAGAGCCTTCAGGCTGGGGTGTCTGGTTCTGGGAGCACCTGGTTGGGCTGTTAAGGAAAGGTTCCCTGGTGTGGCCTGGGCGACAGGCCAGGGAGGATCGAGTTGAGCAACTTTAAGTCATTTGCCCGGAGTTGAACCCGTAGATCCAGGAAGAGAACTACCGATGTCCCCTGTCATTGAAGGGTGCACTGTCCTTCACTGTGCAGACTTGGGGACACAGTCGGGCACTCATGGCAGAAAAACAGGCACGTAGACATCCAGAGACCTGCTCTGAGGATCAGGGCCAGGCAGATGCTTGGAACCACACTCCTCGCAAACTCTGCTTCAATTCATACTTTAAACAGAGAAAACCAGTTTCTGCGCTATGATCAAAAGAAGCAAGTGAGGCCGGGTGCGGTGGCTCACACCTGAAATCCCAGCACTTTGGGAGGCTGATGTGGGCGGATCAATTGCAGTCAGGAGTTTTGAGACCAGCCTGGCCAATATGGTGAAACCCTGTCTCTACTAAAAATACAAAAATTAGCCGGGCATGGTGGTGGGTGCCTGTAGTCCCAGCTACTTGGGATACTGAGCAGGAGAATCACTTGAACCCGGGAGACAGAGGTTGCAGTGAGCTGAGACTGCGCCACTGCACTACAGCCTGGGTGACAGAGTGAAAAAAAAAAAAAAAAGAAAAGTGGAAAGTCAAACAAAAAGTGGTTGTTCAGGGGGCAGGGCCCTGCTTCTGTTATACTTCTGGGACTGAGTTCTCCTTATAGCAAGGGACACCTGGTGACATCCCAAGGGAGTGAGGTCAGAAGAAGGCAGACTCAGGCCTCCCCCAACTCTAGACACTGCTCCATGCTTGCCTGGGAGGGGCTGGGGGTGGAGAACAGTGGCTGCTTTCTCTTCTGTTCCTTTCTTCATTCCATGAAACAGGGGTTAAGTAGGAAGGCTCAGAGATGTCCCCCCATCCCACCTTGTGCTGGAGAAATCCTACACACACATATAAGTTTATTTACATTTATGATTCTAGCATGATATATCTTTATTATTCACACGCAGAATCTATTGAACACTTACGGTTTTCTCTCCCCTGGACTCTTGACAAGTTTTTATCTTGTTCTGAAGCTGTTGCAGAGAGAAATTTAATCCATTTGTTTGTGAATTGGATTTTGCCACCTAGAAAACCAGAGGTTCCGAGATTTTGTTTCTAGAATACATATTGTGATCTGGGAAATGTTCTGTGAAACATACCATCTGAGAAACTGATTAAGCACGGAAAAAAATGAAATCAGGGGAAAATATGCAGCTTTACCAGACACTAGATTGATACAAATTACAAAGATTTTTTTTCCTCTCTCAAGTAAGCTTCAAGCAAAATTGGCACCCCAGAGTGTGGTGAGGGAGTTGGGAGGGCAGGCTCTGCTTTAGCAGTGCAGGGCCAAGACTGTAGAGACTCCCTGGAAAGCTTCGAGAGCCACAGAAAGGTCACGCTCTGACCCAGGACTGTGGCTTCCAGGAGGCACCCTAAGGATGCAGTCAGATTGTCCTGGCAAGTGCACAGGCTCTGCTCCAGCAGTGCAGGGCCAAGGCTGGAAAAACTCCCTGGAAAGCTTACAGAGCCACAGAAAGGTCATGCTCTGACCCAGGACTGTGGCTTCCGGGAGGCGTCCTAAGGATGTGGTCAGACCGTCCTGGCTAGTGCACTTCTCACAGCATCACCTTTCATAACAAGAAGCGAAATTCACCAAATGTTCCTCCAGAAAGGAATGCTTAAGTAAAATGTCAACACATCCATGACAGAGACGCCATCAAAATGGTGTCTTTGCGGAATATTTAAAGATTATACAGCTTATAAAACTGGTATAGATAGCAAGCAGCCAATTTTGGCATATCCCCATCTTTTCATGTATAGAAAAAAAGCTTAAAAAATAAATTGAATCGCTTCTCGGCCTTTTGGCTAAGATCAAGTGTAAAAAATAAATTGAAATCTTAAACAGGGGTTATGCTGTGTGGCAGAATTATGGTTTACTCTCTGTTTTGTATTTGTTCTATATTCCCAGTATTGTCCATGATGGAAATGTATTTTGTTTATCACAGGTGTTAGATATTTTGAAATCCAACCCCTGTACACCATGAACAGTCCCCAAATATCAACTCAGAAAAAAGAATCAGTGCCAGCACCAGCTGGAGGCCCATTAGGAATATGCTCCTCAAACAGGAGTGTGGTGACATGCCCTGGAGCCGTGGGCTCTGCTGCCTGCAGCTGCCTCCTGCTCCTTCTGGAATGACTGGAAGCCGGTCCTGAGAGGTTCATCTGGGACCTCCACCAGAGCCTGCCTTTATTAAGGATTCACTGTGCTCCAGGGACTATGTCATGAGTTTAGCACATATCAGCTCCTTTATCGGTGCCATAATATTAGGAATTGCTTTTATGATTCCCATTTCACAGATGGATGAATTAAATGCTTCTTGGGGTGAAAGGGGCAGGAAGCTGGGTCTGGAGTCCCTATCTCAGAGCCTGGGATGCCAGCAAACCCTTCTTTTATCGAACTGTACTTGCCACTCCCAAAAGACAAGGCTGTCCTCCTCACCTCCGCTTGTCCTAGCCCTAGTGAGTCCTCAAACATTGTTCCCTGAATGGGCATTGACCTATGCTGATAACCCAGGCCCTTCATTTCCAGTGTACCCCAAGTCCCTCCCATCCCACTTCCACTCAGCTCTGGAATCAAAATGTGTCCCTCCGGACATTGTGCCCAGGCCATGATTCTCTCTCCCTCAGCCTCGCACTTCTGCCTCACTCCTACCCACCTCCAGCCTTTCTGTGGTCAGCAGCCAGGACCCCTACCCTCCAAGTTTAGCCCCGAGCACGCAGCCCCACCTGAACCCTTCCCAGGCCCCCACTGCCTCCCCACTGGTGCTCTCCAACCACAGAGCTCCCTACTCTCTCCCTCGCACTCTTGCAGTCCTGGGCTCCAGCCCCCTGGACTTTCTCCAGCATCTCTCCAGAACGCTTCACTCCTCACCGCCTACCTGGCTGGTTCCTACTTCTCCATCAAGCCTCTGGAAGCCCCACTTTCTTAGCCCAGGTTAAGTTCTCTGGCCCCTCAATCCCCACGCAGCCACCTTCTCCTTCTGTTGCACGCGTGGCCTGTTTGTGGTTAAGGCCATAAGCTCTGGTGTCGGTCAAACCTGGGTTCACATTTTGACTTTACCCTTTAAGAGCTCTGTATTCCTACCTAAGTCACTAAAATGCTGTCTCAGTTTACCTCTAAAATGGGGATAAAAACAGTACTTGCCTCCTATAGTTCTTGTGAGGACTAACACAGCTAATCAAAGCAAGTTGCTCAGCAGGATGAATGGTGTTCAATAACTAGTAAACGTTAGTGGTTATTAAGATTTCATTTTTGGCCAGGCACAGTGGCTCACGTTTGTAATCCCAACACTTCGGGAGGTTGAGGCAGGAGGATCGCTTGAGCCCAGGAATTCGAGACCAGCCTGGGCAACATAGGAAGACTCCATCTCTACAAAAAATAGAAAAAATTAGCTGGGCATGGTGGCATGTGCCTGTAGTCCCAGCTACTTGTGGGACTGAGGTTGGAGGATTGCTTGAGCTCAGGAAGTTGAGGCTACAGTGAGCTGTGTTCACGCGACTGCACTCCAGTCTGGGTGACAAAGCAAGACCCTGTCTCAAAAAAAAAAAAAAGATTGTTTCTGTCTTCCTGGCTGGAGAGCAAGTCCCACGCACAGGACAGAGACCACACTGGCCTTCCAGCACTGGGGACAGTGCCTGGTGTGCAGGTGTGTGTGATAAAGATCCTTGATGAAGAATGAACCTATCCTACCTGGCACTTGATGTGCACTTGCAGATTCGTCAGTAACCGCTGGATTTTCTCTATGAAAATAAGGTCCACAGACAGGTTATGGAATTTGCTTTCAAACTTGTTGATGACATCATTGGCCTGCACAGAGAGATAAAGGGTAAAGGACAGGGGCTTAATCTGGACCTTTTGGACTCTGAAAGAGGAGGGGGACAGGCCCAGTGAATGGTTGGATGGAGGGCTTAGCCCTCCCTTCAGAGGGAGTTGAGCAAGGGATACTGTGGAACCAGTTGGCCTGGGGCCTGGCTGGGGGCCCCACCTGGTCCAGGTACTCGTTCTCCATCTTCTCCATGTTGAGCATGATGACACTGTCAACCAACTCTATCCGGGCAGCTTCCTTCTCCAGTCGGTGACACAGTGAATTGATTTCTTTAGGAGAAAAGTTGCCTCCCTCTGAAAACAATCTGAAAATAATCAGAGAGAAATAAAAGCCACGGATCAGACCTGAGAGTTCTCATCTATCCCAAATACTGTGGCTGACACACACTTTTAATCTAGGCTTCCGGTTAGAGTTCCAGATGTGGGAAAATGAATGCAGATAGCTTAAGGACAGGAGTAGGATTCATAAATGGTGCAAAATTTCCATTTTTGTCAGTTCATCAGGTTGGAGACCCTAACAGACCCAACTGAAACAAAATTCAAAACAAAAATAGCTTTCTTGGAACTGTGTAAAGGTAAGAATTCCACATAAACTTGCCAGGCGTGGTGGCTCATGTCTGTATTGCCAGAATTTTGGGAGACTGAGGCAGGAAAATCACTCGAGGCCAGGAGTTCAAGATTAGCCTGGGCAACATAGCATGACCCTGTCTCTACAAAAAGTAAAAAAATTAGCTGGGTGTGGTGGCATGTGCCTGTGATTCCAGCTACTTGGGAGGCTGAGGTGGAAGGATTTCTTGAGCCTAGGAGGGAGAAGTTGCAGTGAGCCGAGATTGCGCCACTGCACTCCAGCCTGGCTGACAGAGTAAGATTCTACCTCAAAAAAATAAAATAAAATACAAAATTCCAGATGAAGTGACACCAGAAGGGAGCTTGGGATGTGGGCGGCACCAGAAGCCAAGACTTTGCACCAGAGCCTTGGAGTTTCAGTCTTGATGACTGCACAGGTGAAGGGATAGCCTAGAGCTGGATCCAGAGGACAACCCTTGCATTATAAGACTGAGGAAGGAACGAATCCACCAGATACCAGGACTCTCACCTGTCTAGATCCAAGGGCAAAGAGGACAGAAAAGATCTCTCTCCCCTGAAAATTAATCATACAAACTAGACTTCACATACATTTACAAAATGAATTCATGTTCTCTGGAGTGACCCAAAAAACCTCAAGCAGAGAATTCTAACTGGTCCTGGGTAGGTAGTGCTCCCTGGCTACCCAGCAGAAACAAATAAGGATTCTCTCTGAAGGAATGCAATGCCCAGTCCAGGCCTCAAAGAATGCCACAGATAAAGTCCCAAGGAAAATGAGTGACTCGTAGCTTAAAAAATTGAAAAGGAATCAAGATACAAGATACCATGCATGAAAAACAGTGAAACAATAGAGAACAGAAACTGACCTCCCCCAAACCCTCAGATATTAGAAATATCAGATATAGACTATAAAATAACGAGGTTTAAGATGTTTAAAGGAACAAAAAGTAAGCTTCAAAATATGAACAAGGAGCAGGCAGTTTTGAAAAAGTATCAAATGTAATTATAAATGGGCAGAGAGTGGTGGCTTACACCTGTAATCTCAGCACTTTGGGAGGCAGAGGCGGGTGCATCACTTGAGGTCAGGCATTCAAGACCAGCCTGGCCACTATGGTGAAACCCTGTCTCTACTAAAAATACAAAAATTAGCTGGGCATCGTGGCACATGCCTGTAGTCCCAGCTACTCGGGATGCTGAGGCAGGACAATCACTTGAACCCAGGAGGTGGAGGTTGCAGTGAGTGGGGACTGTGCCACTGCACTCCAGTCTGGGTGAGAGAGTAAGACTCTGTCTCAAAAAAAAAAAACCAAAAAACATATATATATATATGTATATACACACACATATATATATACACATATATGTATGTACACATATATGTATGTATCTACAAATGGAAGCTATAATAATTAAAATTGAAAACTCAATGAACAGATTTGCAGGAGGTTCAACACAGTCACAGAGTGAATCAGTGACTAGGAAAAATAATACAAAGAAATTAGCTAGAATGAAGCTAAAATATGCAAGACGGATGCAGAGATAGGCAAGGTAGAGATGATTAACATGTCAAATTATAGTTCTAGTTTTTGCTACTTTCCAAATTTTCTTTAAAAATTCTATTTTTATAATCAGAAAAATCTTAATATTTAAAACAAATGCAAGCTTTGTAGATACTGACACGGAAGGTGCCCACTGTTGGGACTCAGAAAATGATACCAAAAATGTGCTACTTTGAACTTAAAGCTGAGAGTACTTGGGGAGCAGCAAACGCAGGGAAGAGCTTTCTCTAAAGTTCACCTATCTACCTAAAGGCTGGATCCTCCAGAAGATACTCAACTGTTGTGAATCCCTTCCCCAGATAACTCATCAACCAGGAGAAACTGATACATAGTTGTAGGAAGGAAGACTGGAGTTGACACCACACCCAGAGCCCATACAGAATTGGTCCCAGGCTATTGTCTGTTCTTTGGGTCCATTAATCTCCCCTAAACATCATTTACCCTTCCACTAAAATTTCCTACATCTCCCATTTCTCACTCTCCTTTGAAGAGGATATTTAAGATTCAACCACTTGGCCTTTGTTTGAGTTTCAAACTTTGTGTGACACTTGCACGTTAATAAATTGGTGTGTCTTTTTCCCATTAATCTGTTTATCGCCTTTATTGTTTTATTGTTTGTTTGTTTGTTGTTGATGTTGTTGTTGTTTTGAGATGAAGTCTCGCTCTGTCTCCCAGGCTGGAGTGCAGTGGTGCGATCTCAGCTCACAGCAACCTCCACCTCCCAGGTTCAAGCAATTCTCCTACCTCAGCCTCCCAAGTAGCTGGGATTATAGGCGCCTGCCACCACGCCCAGCTAATTGTTGTATTTTCCGTAGAGACGGGGTTTCTCCATGTTGGCAAGACTGGTCTCGAACTCCTGACCTCAGGTGATCCACCCGCCTCGGAATCCCAAAATGCTGGGATTACAGGCGTGAACCACTGTGCCTGGCCTTGTTTTATTGGCTCAAATTGTTGAAACTTCAGGGGTGGAAAGAAAGTTCCTTTACTCCCTACATCACCATGATTTGGTGATGGTGGTAGTGGGGGGCTGTGGGTCAGCATGTGTACTAGTATTCCATTTCTGTACAAAACTAATAATGTTTTGCTCATGTATACATAAGTACAGGCACATAGAAAATATATTTTTGGAGGGCTTCCACTTTGTACTTTATATACAATCTGTGTTTGATTATGCTGTAATGATTAAAAGATTTGTGATTTTTAAAATAGCATAAGCCTTAAAAAATAAATATAGCCTTTCAAAAATGTCAAAGACTAAATCTAGGATTACTTTCATCCAGGATTCAGATTGCAGGGGTAAAAATAAGGGGAAAGAATGGCCAATAAACACATGGAAAGGTTAACATCATTAATTGTCAGGGAAATGCAAATCAAAACCACAACGTAGAAACACCTCACACCCATTAACAGGTCTATTATAAAAAACAAAAAACACCAGAAAGTAACAAGCGTTGGTGATAATGTAGAGAAATTGGAACCCTTGTGCATTGCTGGTGAGAATGAATATGGCGCAGCTGCTGTGGAAATAGTATGAGGGTTCCTCTCAAAGTTAAACATAGAATTACTGTTTAATCCAGCAATTCCACTTCTAGGAAATAACCAAAATAATTAAAACCAGGACCTTCAACAGGTATTTGTACACCAATGTTCCTATCACCATTATTCACAATAGCCAAAAGATGGAACCAACCCAAATGCCCATCAAAGATGAATGGGTAAACAAAATGTGATCTATACACACAATGGAACATTATTCAGCCTTAAAAAGGAATGATTTTGTGACACATGATACATGATACATGGATGAACCATGATACATGGATGACACATGATTTTGTGATACATGACACATGATACATGGATGAACCTTGAAGACAATATGCTAAATGAAATGAGCCAGACAAGAAAAGGACAAATATATGATTCCACTTATATGAAGTAGCTAGAGGTTTCAAATTCATAGAAACAGAAAGTAGGGTGGTAGTTGCCAGGGGCTGTGGGGAGGGAGGAATGGGGAGTTCTTGTTTAATGGTACAGAGTTTCAGTTTGGGAAGATGAAAAAGTTCTGGTGACCAATGGTGGTGATGGTAGCACAACGACCAGGATATCCTTAATGCCACTGATCTGTGCACCTAAAAATGGTTAAGAGTTAAGTTTGATGTTATGTATATTTTGTCAAAACTAAAAATTAAGGGGGAAACAAGACCACATCCCAATAGAGAAACTCAGGTGGCCTGAACAGGCCCTGGACACTGGCTCCCACCTGCAGTGTTTGATGAACTCAATATTTGAGTAGCGGAGTTTGCCCAGACTCTCCTCCAAGTACTGCCGGAAGCTGCGCAGGGACACCTGGGTGACATCAACATAGCTAAGCAACTCCTGGTGCAGTGTGTTGCTGAGAATGACCAGCCTGTGGGAGACAGAGGAGGAACAGGACAGTGATGGGGGACAACCCTGGGGGACAAGGGAGGGGCAGGTGGTGATGGTGATCAGCCTAGGGGATGTCGGAGGGGCAGGTGGTGATGATGACCAGCTTGGGGGACACAGGAGGGACAGGTGGTGATGGTGAGCATCCTGAAGACATGGGAGGGGAAGGTGGTGATAGGTGACCTTCCTGGGGACACAGCACTGATGGGTGACCAGTTTGGGGGGCATGAGAGGGAAGGGTGGTGGCCTGGGCCTGAAAGGAAGACATCCTGGGAGTCTATTTGGGCTCCACAAGCTGTGCCCAGCTGCCCAGCTTCTCTGGGTAGCAAAGGGGGCAGTAGAAGGAAGTTCAAAATTCCAGTGTCTGTAGGACACACTTTGGGTGTGCTGGATCAGAGGGCATCCTTCTCTCTCTGACCCTTGCAATCAAATTGGTGAAAGAATCCCAGAAGATCCTACTGGATCTTTGTCTCTGCTCCAGTGGGCTGTGTCTGACCCCCAGCAAGGTGGCTCCTGCACCCATGATCCCCTAAAGAGTACCCTGAGAGTGTCCTCTTTACAACCAAGTCCACCAGAACCAGCTGTCCCTCATGTGCCTGATGGCTGCGTAGACACTTGCCAGTCCCTGGGACCTGCCTGAGGCCTCCATCTCATATCCCAAATGGCCTCTCTGGAGCCCCTTGCTCTGCCCTGAGCACACTCCTACACTGAGCTGAGCCAGTGCTCTTTCAGAGATTGTGGAACGCAACCCTCTCCCATCTTTCTCCATTCAGGGCTCTTCTGAGTTCATATTCAATGCTGCCTCCTGCAGGAAGCCCTCCCTGATTTTTCCTGGGGGAAAGTGGTCTTCCCCACCACTGATATTTCATAGTACTTGGTTTGCACCCTTGCAAGCTGCCTGTGTGTATTCTTTGCTCTCTGGCTGCTCACTCCCTGCCCTCCCACACAATATTCCACACAGAGTTTGACTTGACTCTCTTGAAGAGTTTAACTCGAAAGAAGGCTCTGGAGGTGCCTTCTGCTCTTGTGTCTACAGGGAGTGGGGCTCCTTTGAAAGGACCAGCCAAACTGAGATTCCAGAGCCACATGACTGGGGTGAAGACTCCCAGGAGCCCTTACTTTTGGCTTCTGGTGGCATTCAAGAAGATGTGCTCCATGTCATAGATCTTGAGGCGGAAGTTTTTGCTCCTCACGTTTTGCTCTTCTTGGAACTGGCAGAACATCAGCTGCTCCTTCTTCAGCGTCTCGGTCACCCCAGCACAGTGGCTGTCCAACCGCTCTTGATGAAGTAAGAGCTCCGCTGAAAAAGCATTAGGAGAGCTGGGGTCCCTGGGACCCGACTTACCTCAGCATATTGCTTTCCTGGAACAAGGCCCGTCTGCTGCCTCTCCCGGGCCAGCTGCAGAACAGGAACGATTCAGGTCAAGGCCCCTTGTCCTGCCCCTGTTGCCTTCATCAGGGCTTGGGCTGGAGACGAGGCCTGGCCATGAGCAGGGAGTTCCTGTTGGTGGAGACACCCTGCCCGGAGCAGAGGGAACACAGCCAGGAAGATGGAGAGTTTGGGGAGCAGCCGAGTAGCAGGCAGGATGGGCAGGGGGTGCTGGGGAGGGCTGAGATCTAGGTGAGAGGGTCTGGGGGAGGGTAACAACAAGTACAGCACTGAGCAGTCTGGGTTTGCTCCTTAACATCAGCAGATACTTATGTCCAGTGAGCCTGAATTCCAACTGTCTTCCAAGGTGGAGTGGCAAGAACAAGGACTGGGCTTCCAGGGATCCATCATAGGCCTTTAGGTGAGCAGAGAGTCCCTAGAGCCCCCAACCCTGACCACCTCCCATCTGACCCCACTATCATCTGAAGTGGTGGAAGTGCTGTGGTCCCAGCTCTGCCAAAATGACTGGTGAGATGCTAGGACTTCGCTTCTCTCGCCTTGTTTTCCACACTGTGTATTGGCTCAGGTGGCCTGGGAACGAAAGGGAGCCAGCCTTCAGGGAGCTTCTACTCAGTGCATGTAGAATCCTTTTTATTCCTCAGTGCATTTAGCACACACATTTTCCAGATGAGAACAATGAGGTTCCAAATGCCACACAAGTTGCCTGAGCCCGCAAGCACTGGGATTCAAGGCCAGTTGTCAGCTTGCACAACTCCTTCCCCGCTCCAGGAATAGGAGTTTGTGTGGGTTAGTGACGGGGCTCTCTGATAGCTCTAAAGGGCTTTGAAGGAGCTGGGGTATCATTTGGGTGAAAAACCAACAGTCATTGAAGAATCCTACTGAAAACATCCCCCCCGCTCCCCGCCACATTAACAGAGCCCACCACATAGGTGTGAAATGCATGTATTTTTAAGTATGATAAATGATAAAGTAGAAATAATGGCTATCACTTTTGGAGGCTGTATCTTGTACCAGGTGCTCATGATTCCTTACTATACCATTTAAAAAGGGTTTATTACCACCTCCTTAACGCCTCCATCAACCCCTTCTGCAGGTGAGAGAGGGATCAGAGAGGTCAGGTAACCTGTACAGGGTCGCACAGTCACAGGAGTTGAAACTGAGAGCTCTAATTCCTGAGCTATGGGCTTGCCTCTAGAATACCCACTATGCAGGTGTGTATCTGACAGGTGTATGAGGAGATCTGGCATTCAAGAGCTAAAACAGTACAACACTCTTTGTTTTCAACTCTAACAGCCTCTTGGAAAAAAATGGAAATGAGAAAAAAATCTCGCAGGAGGATTCTGAGTACCACCTTTTTCTGCAAGCCTCGGAGATGTGAACCCTCGTGCGCATCTTCCATGGTGTGATGAGAACATGCTAAACGTTGCATGGTACAAACTGGGACACCTAATGGACATGGAGCCACAGTGGAGCAGACATTGAAGGAGGGGCTGGGGGCAGGGCAGACATTCCCAGGCAGTATCTGTACCTGCCCTGACGTTGTGGATGTCTTTTTCAATCTGCTGGGCTCTTGGCTGGTGCAGGTGCAGATGCAGTTCCAGTTCTGAATCCAGCTCATTGACTTTGGTGGCCACGGTGACCCGGGTGTTGAGGGAACACTGGTCAAACCACTTCTCGAGGTGCTCGAAGAAGCCAGCTCGAAGTCTGAGGGAGAGACCAGCCAGGGTCAGCCCTGCCAGCAATCATGTCCTATGAGAGGTCTTTCCATATGGAGCCCAAAGGGCTTCCCCGCTTCACTCCTTTCCCTCATTTCATTTCCCAGCTACATTGCATTTCATTGTGCAAATGGACCATTACTCGTTTAACCGTACCACTGCTGGAGGACATTACGTATGTCAGATGTAGAAGTGTTTCTTTGGATAAATGACCTTGAACTGTAGTTGCTGAATCAAAGGTTAAAACACATTTGTGGTTTTGGCAGATATGGCCAAACTGTTTCCACTAGAAGTCAACTTGTATTCTCATCAGCGATGTTCCTATTTCTCCACAGTCTCAGAGTGTATTGTCAGATGTCTAAGTTTGACAATTTTGTCATATTATGATTGAGACTGAGCATATTTTCATGTGTTTAAGATTATTTAGGCTGGGCACTGTGGCTCATGCTTATGATCCCAGCACTTTGGGAGACTGAAGCAGGAGGATTGCTTGAACCTAGGAGTTAGAGACCAGTCTGGGCAACATGGTGAGACCCCATCTCTACAAAATATTTACAAAATTAGCTGGTCATGGTGACATGCGCCTATGGTCCCATCTACTCAGGAGGTTAAGGCTGCAGTGAGTCATGCCACTGAACTCCAGCCTAGGTGACAGAGTGAGACCCTGCCTCAAAAAAACCCAAGAGTATTTAGTTTCTCTTTCTGTGTACTGTCCATGAATGTCTTTTGCCCAATTCTCTGTTGTGAATAGCGGTTCTTTTTTACAAATCAATTTCTAGGGGCTCCTCATATACTGGGGACATGAGGGTCATTGACTTTGATGTGAGTTGCAAATGTTGCTTCTCAGCTTATCATTTCTTCCTTTTTAAAATTTATGATGCTTTTTTGGCCATGTATTGTTAAGATGTCAGTTTCCAAAAACTGACCTATAGATTCAATGCAATAACAAGAAACAACATTGCAGCAGACGTCTTATGGAAACTTGAGCTAATTTAAAAAATTATGTAGAAATACAAAGGGCCAAGAATAATGGAGGGAGAAGACTAAAGTTGGAGGACTTACACTATCAGATTTAATTAAGACTTAGTGTAAAGCTGTAGTAATCAAGCAGCGTGAAGTCATTGGATAGGCACACAGAGAACTAGAAAAGACACGTGGCAGAGCAGTGGGGGAGAGGAGAGTCTCTTCATTAAATGACCCAGGATCAACTGGTTATCTATATGGGAAAGAAATGAATCTTGACCCCTATTTCACACCATAAACAAAAATCAGTTCAAGGTGGATTTTTGATGTTAATATGGAAGTTGAAAACAATCACATTTTAAATATGTAACATTGGAGAACATCTCCATGTCCTTGGGGGTAAGGCACAAAGTAAATTAACCTTAATTAAAAAATTGATGAATTCGACCTTATTAGAAATAAGAACTTCTGTTCATCAAAAGATATAACTTGAAAGAGAGTAAAAAAGGCAAGTGCAGAGAGGGGATGAATATTTGCCATTTATTTATCTGACAAAGCCTTATATAGAATATATAATTTAATTTTTTTTTGAGGTGGAGTCTCACTCTGTCTCCCAGTCTGGAGTGTAGCAGCACTCTCTCGGTTCACTGTAACCTCCGCCTCCCAGCTTCAGGCAATTCTCCTGCCTCAGTCTCCTGAGTAGCTGGAATTACAGGCGTACACCACCACGCCTGGCTATAGAATACATAATTAATTCCCATAAATTAATAAGAAAAAAGACAGAAAATCGACCAGAAAAATAATAGGCAAAAGATTTTGCTAGGCATTTCACAAAAAGATAACCAAATGGCCCAAAGAGTATTTTAAAAAGAATACAATATCATACTCATCAGGAGAATACATACTAAAACCACAATGAAACGCCACTATAACCATACCAGAATGGCTAAGATAAAAACCACTAACAATGCCACTGAGGTTGTGGAGCAGTTGAAGTTCTCATATGCTGTTGTAAGCTGTAAAACTATTAAAAACCACTTTTGAAAACTCCTTGGTAATATCTTTTGGCCGTATCTCCTACAGATGGATATGGACACACACTCTGTGAGTCAGCAGTTCCACTCTTAGTTCTATATGTAACAGAAACGTATACATATATTCACCAGAAGACTTGTACAAGAGTGTTCGGAGCAACATTATTGGTATATTGGAAAGACCAAATGTGTATTGGTAAAATGGATTAATAAAATGGATTGTATTTTTTTATAATGGGACACTACACAGAAATAAAAACTGAACTCTAGCCACATTCAATTATATATGTCTCATAAACTCACTCATAAAAGAGTGAGTTCTGTATGACTTAATTTAGATAAAGTTAAAAAATAAGCAAAATGAACTCAGAAGTTATAATATTTGTTATCTTTGGGGAAGACAGAGCGGTGGCTTGGGATGGGTATACAAAGTGGGTTCCTGAAGGGTTGGTAATTGTTCTATTTCTTGTGGGCTTTGGGTGTCAACCGTGTCATATTTGGGCAATTCATTGAGCTATACACTTATGACTTTCATACTTTCATGAAGGCATGTTATCCTTCAGTATGCAAACCCAATCAGTCGGACAGATAATTTTTTTCTGGTTAGTCATAAGGCCAGATAGCATAGTGGTTGGTGCAAGATTCTGGAGTTACAGGGTCTGTCTGGATTCATATCTTGGATCAAACTGCTTTCTGTCATGGAGATCTAGGCCAAATGACTAACTCTCGGAGCCTCAGTTTCTTCAACTGTAAAATGGAGTTAATTATGGTACCTCTCTCACATTTATTAAGGGGATTAAATACACTCGGTAAATAATAGCTCCTGTGATAGTCCTTGCTGACCTTTGTCCTATCTGCTATGGAGAGGGCAGATGATGGCCTCTGGTAGATTGAGAGGGATGATGTTTGAGTCAAGAGACATTTCCAAGGTGAGATGCCGCTGAGGTGTAGGAGAAAAAGCCCAAAGGCCTGATTGTACTCCTTTCATTCCTTATCTCCAGCCTCCTGCCCATGTTACATATGGGAGGTGAACGAACCAGGAGATCTCTAGCTGATGAGTCCTCCTACGACATTGTAGAGGCAGGAGGACAATGAGAATGCCATCCAAAAGGCAAACACAAATGTCCATATTTGATCCAAACTCAAACACAAAGGCCCAGAAACTTGGGAGTTAGGGGAAGTAAATTCCCCTGGGTGGGAATTTACTTGGGGTTATGGGTCATTTCTCTATTCTTCATTTTTCTTATATTTTCTGCAACGAAACTCTTTGGTAATGTCTTTTGGCCATGTCTTCTAGCAATGGACATGGATATACTCTATGAGTGAACAGTTCCATTCTTATATTTTGCACATATTGAGTACAAAATGCCATACATGAGATATTTATATTTATGGTGTATATCTGTAGAATTAAAATAGAAAAAGAAAAGAAACCTTACGATTACAGATGTACCAGGAAATAGAACCCAAAAGTATCTGGCAGGGAAAACACTGTATCTTATGTTCAAGGCCCAAGCCAGCAGACAGCCTCCTGAGGTGGGTGCAGGGGGTCACTCTCACAGAAGATATCTGTGACTGCAAACAATTCCTGGATTTTGCCATTTTTTGATTGTGTTTCTCACCCGTACCTTCCTTCAGTTACCTATATTTTTTCCTTATCCAACTGATACCAGTCCAATCCTTTTCTTTTCTTTTTTTTTTTTTTTTTTAACATTTCACCTTGTTAACAAAACTCAGAACAACAGGATGAGAATAAAGTAGTTTTTTACTCACTGTTTCTTAATTTCTAAAATTAGTCTCGATGGAATTGTCACTTGTTCTATGAACTTGGCACTGGAAGTGTCGCTGATGAACATGGCTGAGAAGGTGGAATGGGACTTCCTGCAATGCTCTTCTTCTTCCAGGGGTACGAAGACAAAATATGTGTTTCCACTGGAGATTGTGAAGGACTCCATGTCCTCATAGTATATCTCCTCCAGATCCTCTTCCTTGTCTTCTTCCTAAGCAGGTAACAAGACTAAAGTTGACTTGATATCATCAAACGGACTTGGGAATGCCAACCATAGGTTCCTTGATATCAGAGGTTGTAAAACCAAATTTTGGGCCAAGATTATGGCTGAATCTTGCCTAGGTTCCACACCCCTGCAACACACAGCGCTTTTAAAATTGGGAAGTTCTACATAAAAATCTAGGTTTTAAAATATCAGAAAATATGTCAATTCTGAACCTGCATTCCCACATGGCATCTTTAGTTGGAGTTGAGTAATATCTGATGCACAGTCTTCATCATTTGTCATTATTTTACACTTGGTCTCCAGCCCTCTTTTCTATTACATGCCTGTAGGAATGTGAGTTTGGGATTCCTGCTCAAAAAGAAGTCTACGATACCAATTTTTCCACAACAATATAGGACATGATTCTTCTGCAATTCTATGATTATGAAATTCAAGTTATTGTTCTGTGATTTTGAATGTGTTTTGAGGACAAGATTTACTTTATGAGAGTTACTTCCCTGCACTCAAAGGAGAGCTCTGTCTGCCAGCTTGGATATGGAGCTTTTGAGAATAGGAAGAGAGAAGAAATAAACAGACCAAGGTGAAGCAAGAGAGTCTAAGTTGATCTATTCAATAAGGAGGAATTGAGAAGGAGAGAGAATCAGCAAGGGATAAGGAAAGCCACACAGTTGAAGAGTGACTTTAGAGTAGGTTGCAGGGAAATGAGGAGAGGAAAGTGAATTTTAGAAAGCATTGCTATGGCTGGGTGCAGTGGCTTACACTGGTACTCCCAGCACTTTGGGAGGCTGAGGCGGCAGATCATTTGAGGTGATGAGTTTGAGACCAGCCTGGGCAACACAGTGAAACCCTGTCTCTACTAAAAATACAAAAATTAGAGGTTGATTCCAAGATGGCCGAATAGGAAGCGCTCCAGTCTGCAGCTCCCAGCATGATCGATGCAGAAGATGGGTGATTTCTGCATTTCCAACTGAGATACCTGGTTCATCTCAGTGGCAGTGGTTGGAAAGTGGGTGCAGCCCACAGAGGGCGAGCCAAAGCAGGGCGGGGCATCACCTCACCCGGGAAGCACAAGGGGTCAGGGGATTTCCCTTTCTTAGCCAAGGGAAGCAGTGACAGACTGCACCAGGAAAATCAGGACACTGCCACTTAAACACTGAGCTTTTCAAACGGTCTTAGCAAATGGCACACCAGGAGAATATATCCCACACCTGGCTCAGCAGGTCCCACACCCATGGAGCCTTGCTCGCTGCTAGTCCAAAATCGAACTGTGAGGCGGAAAGCCTGACTGGGTGGGGGGACGTCTGCCATTGCTAACAATTGACTAGGTAAACAAAGCGGCCAGGAAGCTCAAACTGGGTGGAGCCCACCTCAGTTCAATGAGGCCTGCCTGCCTCTGTAGACTCCACCTCTGGGGGCAGGGCATAGCTGAACAAAAGGCAGCAAAAACTTCTGCAGACTTAAACGTCCCTGTCTGACAGCTCTGAAGAGACAAGTGGTTCTCCCAGCAAAGTGTTTGAGCTCTGAGAATGGACAGACCGCCTCCTCAAGTGGGTCCCTGACCCCCGTGTAGCCTAACTTGGAGACACCTCTCAGTAGGGGCTGACTGACACCTCATATAGCCAGGTACCCCTCTGAGATGAAGCTTCCAAAGCAAGGATCAGGCTGTAATATTTGCTGTTCTGCAGCCTTCACTGGTGAAACCCAGGCAAACAGGGTCTGGAGTGGACCTCCAGCAAACTCCAACAGACCTGTAGCTGAGAGACCTGACTGTTAGAAGGAAAACTAACAAACAGAAAGGAATAGCATCAATATCAACAAAAAGGACATCCACACCAAAACCCCATCTGTAGGTCAGCATCATCAAAGACCAAAGGTAGATAAAAACCACAAAGATGGGGAGAAACCAGAGCAGAAAAGCTAAAAATTCTAAAAACCAGAGCACCTCTTCTTCTCCAAAGGATCACAGCTTCTTGCCAGCAACAGAACAAAGCAGAATGGAGAATGACTTTGATGAGTTGACAGAAGTAGGCTTCAGAAAGTCGGTAATAACAAACTTCTCTGAGCTAAAGGAGGATGTTCGAACCCATCGCAAGGAAGCTAAAAACCATGAAAAAAGATTAAATGAATGGCTAACTAGAATAAACAGTGTAGGGAAGACCTTAAATGACCTGATGGAGCTGAAAACCATGACATGAGAACTATGTGACGCATGCACAAGCTTCAGTAGCTGATTCAATCAATGGAAGAAAGGGTATCAGTGATTGAAGATCAAATTAATAAAATAAAGCGAGAAGAGAAGTTTAGAGAAAAAGAGTAAAAAGAAACAAACAAAGCCTCCAAGAAATATGGGACTATGTGAAAAGACTAAATCTACGTTTGATTGGTGTACCTGAAAGTGACGGGGAGAATGGAACCAAGCTAGAAAACACTCTTCAGTATATTATCCAGGATAACTTCCCCAACCTAGCAAGGCAGGCCAGCATTCAAATTCAGGAAATACAGAGAACACCACAAAGATACTCCTCAAGAAGAACAACCCCAAGACACATAATTGTCAAATTCACTAAGGTTGAAACGAAGGAAAAAATACTAAGAGCAACCAGAGAGAAAGGTCGGGTTACCCACAATGGGAAGCCCATCAGACTAACAGCAGATCTCTTAGTAGAAACCCTGCAAGCCAGAGGAGAGTGGGGGCCAATATTCAACATTCTTAAAGAAAAGAATTTTCAACTCAGAATTTCATATCCAGCCAAACTAAGCTTCATAAGTGAAGGAGAAAT